AGCAGCTCCCCGGCCACGGCCCCTCACACTTTGGCTTTTTTTTTCCCCCCTCCTTCTTCTTCCTTCCTAAGTTAACTTAAAAGCAACCCTCATCTCGCATTTCTTACCCGGCCGTTACTAGAATTCCCAGTAAGCTCCCAGGTCTGGTCCTTCATAGGGCCCCGGCCCTGGGAGATGCTAAGTCAATTGTTGTTGGCCCATTCTTTCCTCCACCCGCCCCAGTCTCACTGCCCTCTCCTTATTGCTGCTTGCCCAAAGATCAGCCTCCACACAATCTCTCTACTGCTCCTCTGAGCTGGCAGTTAGTTGCACCTTAGCCCTCCACCCCCCGCCTCTGCATCTGAAGCCCTATGGGCGCCGACAGGGTAGTCCCCTTTGCCACTCATGATGTGGGAGTTCGCTCTCCAGGTCCTTCATCTGTACTGTTCCCTGTGTGTCTCAGGCCACCCACCCTCACTCAGCTCCAGTCTTAGTTTCTAGTTGTTGGTCTGGTGTGTAATTGGGAAGGATCGAGATGGATCTGGATTTTGTGTTGCTGCCTTGGTCTGGGGACCCAGGGCCTTAGGAGACCTATATGGCGATTACAGCCAAGTGAGTTGTGTTCCTAGACCTCTGGCCCGGCTTTTTAAGCCAGGGGACAGATTAGTATTGTTGCCGTTTGAGAAATTAAAGGACTGTAGTTTGTTGTTGTCTGTGGTTGGAGTTAGGGGTAGAAACAGTAGTCTCAATTTAAACAGCAAGGGAGAAGAGATTGCTACGTGAAAGATTTATAAAACTAAAGGAAATTTAAAACAGCCTGAAACTCACAAAGTACTCAGGGTGCTTCTGCTGCTAGTGCATCCCTTCTCCAGTCTCGAACAGAGTGTCTGGGGACATGGGGTCCCCTGTGGGGCCAGCTGCATCCTTCCTTCCTTGTTTTCCCTGGCTAGGTCCCAAGACTGGGCAAGTGGGTAGAAGGGATCAAATGAGGTAAAGTGTGAAAGCGCTTTGAAAACTTAACTGGTAAACGTGCCAAGGGGCGTTATTTGTCATGATGGCTCAGAGAGGAGAGAGCTGGGATCGCTCACCAGGTGGGGGGAACATGGGCTTGCACCCCTTTCTGAGCTTTCTCAGTTACCCCCCCGGGCCTGGAGGATCTTCGCATCCTGAGAAAGGGCAGAGTCACTTCCCAACAGGTTTGGGACTGGGCGGTTGTTGGTTGCTCAGATGTCGGGGAATTTGGGACTCCACTTCTGTTAATAGTGGTACCTTTCTGTGCCAAGGCACATAGCTCTGGAATGGGGCTAATTTTAGGGTTGATGGAATGAGGAAATAACATTAACTTAGCGTGTGCTAGGACTGCCCATTCTTGGGATCTTTTTCTTCTCAGAGTTCTGAACCCCAGAGAACAGGCTTCCCTCCTGTTCCTGCAAGCCTGTTGTGAACACCCTGGACCAGTATATCTTTTTCCCTCAACTCCAGCAGGGGGCAGCCTTTTAATAGCAATAAATCTAAAGCTCGGAGGGAGAGGGTATACCAAGGCCTGAGAAAGAAGATGGGACAGAGGGCTGGAGGGAGCCGGGCAGGCAGATGAGGCAGGCAGGTGCTGAAGGTAGGGGTGGCGGGTAAGCGGGAAAGAGCCTGGAGGAGACGCTGAGATCAAGAAGCCAGGAAAGGGTGCTGCCCCCAGTCCTGTCTGCTGTCTGTCCCGGCCCTTTCCTTCACTGGAAAGGGATCCAAACAGGTGGCTTCGAGAGTTTGTGATGGAGAAACTTTGCACAATTTTTTTAATCTCTTCTTAAGGATTTCCCTCCTGGCAGGGTTTCAGATTTCTCTCAAGGGACAGTATAATTAGGAAAAGATTTCCCTGCTTTTAGGGGAGACTGAACTGAAATAAATTTGGTTTCTCCTGTCTTCTGTTCTTCCCCGTAAACACAGAGCAGGCTTTACCTGTGCTTGTGATATGGAGGAGGCGTCCTGAGCCCGGGCACTGTCGCCGCATTGGGCCCACTAATTTCTTGTTGTGGGGGGCTGTCATGCGCCTTGTTGGAGGCCAGTAGCGCCTTTCAAGTCACGCCTACCAAAACCGTATCCAGATACTGCCACATGTGCCCTGGAGCGCAGGCGCCCCAGTTGAGAACCCCTGGCTCAGAGGACACAGAAGCACGCCTGGTCAGAAGGTGGGAACCACCGGCAGCTCGTGTGCTGCTTCGCAGTGCTTCCTTTGGTCTGAAGGACGACCCGACAGCCACCGGCTGCTGGACCAGGTCCCCCTGTGGCCAGGCCAGCCCGGAGACGTGACTTTCCTCCAGCCGCTCCTCTGCTTCCTCCGCCCTGACTGCCTTTCCTTGCTTCTGCAGTTTCCCTGCTTCTCACACCGGGAACCACTTTTCCTCAGTTTGCCAGTCTGCGACCGGGACAGAAAGGTGAAGGCCGGAAGAGGAGAGCTGCCTTTGCCACTCCCTGGAAGGGAGGGAGGGTGAGTTGTCCCTGTTATCTCACAGCGGCCTTCCATGAGGATGGGGCTCTTCTGGAAAGAATCGCAAGGGGCTCAGAACAGCCTCTCCTGAGGTTTGTTTGCAGGAATGTGTGGTGTTTTCTTTGGAGTGAGGAGGACCTCGGTATGTAATAGGTATTCCCAAATGTCTCTTTTTTTCCCCCCTAAACCTTTTTTTTTTTTTCTTCTCCTGCCGGGGTGGGGGTGGTAAAACAGGCCATTTAACCATTTTTGAGTGTACGATTCTGCAAGGTTAAGTACGTTCACGTTGTTGTGCAACTGTCCCCACTGTCCCATCTTCAGAACTCTTTCGTTGGTCCCATTTTGGCTGAAACTTCTTACCTATTAAGTACTTCCCAACCCTGGCCCCTATTGTTCTATGTGTCTCTAAATTTGGCTGCTCAAGGAATCTCAAACAAGAGGAATCCTGTGGTGTTTGCTCTTTTATGACTGGGCTGTTTCATTTAGCATAGTGTCTTCAAGGTTGATTGGGCAGATTAGGTAAGGGCTGTAGCGTGGAAAGAAGGAACCTTACTCTGTTGTCCTGGGAGGCCTGCGTGAATCCAGTGAAAGGAAGAGCTTTTCAAATGTTTTTATTTATTTTTGAGAGAGGCAGAGCGTGAGTGGGGGAGGGGCAGAGAGAGAGAGAGAGAGACACACACACACACAGGATCCGAAGCAGGCTCCAGGCTCTGAGCTGTCAGCAAAAAACCCCGATGAGAGGCTCGAACCCACGAACACCGAGATTGTGACCGGAGCCGAAGTCAGACGCTTAATGGACTAAGCCACCCAGGTGCCCCTTTTCAACACCATGTGTCTCCTGAGAGCCACGTGTGCCGTGGTGTGCTCTGTCGCCAGGAATGTCCAGTTGGGGCTGTTGCAGAAGAGATGGTCATGCCAGGGACAAGTCCACCCTGTTGTAGACAACCTCCAAAGCTGGGTTTCCTCCTAGGACACCAGGATTTTGGAAGCGGGTCCCACTTCTGTCATGGTGTTCTGCTTTGTCTTCCCGTCTGCAGCTGTGAGAGCTACTGCCCCTTGACCCCTCTGGAAGAAACCCTTCCGCCTTTCTTCGCAGAATCGTGGAGTCTTGGACTTGATGGAAACTGTGGAGGCACTCTGGTCCGGCTTCCTCCCCAGCCAGTGAGGGAAGCCCTTGTGCAGCTCCCTGAGACCTCACCCACCCATCCTTGCTCAGAACCGCCAGGGATGCGCTGCCCCCTGAGAGCCTCTCCTGCTGTTCCTTAGGAGGACAGGTCGCTGCCACTGCCACTACTTCTGTCAACCTCATTTTTACTTTATGGTGAGAGGGGCTTTTGCCTGGTTTGTAGCATAATGTTCCCTTTTTGGTTCTTAGTAGTTGTGATGGGGCTCTTCCCGATCCCTGGAAAAGTGTGGATTCCTGTTGGGTAAACCAGGCCAAGGGGGCACTGGCTGGACTCACCTGCCTGTGGCCTTCCGTTTGCCCTGTCTTTGGCCCTGGGGTAGGGGCTCCTCACCGCCGCTCCCATTCCACTGGCTTTCCCCCAAAACGGAATCCCTGGATTCTAGCCGCCAAACAGGCAGCCCTGAGAGTTTTCAGGAGGGAGGTAATTTTGCTCCTAGGTTGCATTTGTGATTCTTTCCATAACTGATGGTTTTTTGTCTCTAGGGTATTTGTGGCTCTGATGTTTTGTTTGTTAGTTTCCTTGCTTGCTTGTGTTTTACCTTTGTTCTGAGTGTCCCCCATGCCTCAACCAGCCCCTTCCCAAATACCACGCCACCCTGCGAGGGCGCTTAGGCCTGGAGAGGTACCTGGCGTGCTCTGCCACAATGCCAGCGCCTCTGTTAGCTCTGCTGGGTCAGTTAACTGGTCTTGAGGCCTAGCAGGGGGGACAGAGATGAGAAAGAGCAGGGTCCGTGGCTCCCTGCGCCGGATAACTAGAAGCCTCCCGCAGCTGTGGATCTCCCCATGTTGTGGGCCAGAGGAGGGCCAGAGGTGGGGAGACCCACCCGGCCCATTAGTTTAACCCCAGTTTTATTTTCTTGCCTCTCGGTAAGGATCTTTCCCTGATGTGAAGCTCCCTCCCTGGACACCACTGTAGTCAGGTCAGCGTCCTGTAGCTTGGAGACCTTGGTTCATTCCAGGACAGGCCCCTACCTGAAGAGAGCCCCGGCCCGGCCCGGCCCTACCTGCTTCCTGGGGCAAGGCTGCCAAGTAAGTCTGGGGTAGAGGGAGGTACCCTTTGCTGAAGCTGGAAAGGGCTCCAGCTGCCCTGTTTTCCTTCCTTCCCCCAGGTCTTCCCCCGTTGCGACAGTTCACTTAACTCATGGTGTGAGTGGCACGTGGCTGGCTTAGGTGAGTCCTTTCAGAGTTCATTAGGCGGGCTTCCATTTCTTCTCTTCTTGTGGTTCTCTAGGTGTGTGATGTGTTGTCTCCGAGGCCTAGTGTCCCTGTGTCTCCACAGGTGTTTGGAGAGTGAACGCCAGGTCCCCCCCTTGTCTCTTCAGCCCCTCAGACCTTGAGGATACACCTGGCTCCACAATGGCAGCAGAGACCCTCAATTTTGGGCCTGAGTGGTGAGTCACACATGCTTTGGATGGCTCAGAGAAACCAGGAAGAAGAGGGCTGCCCGGATTCCTGTTTCTCTCCTTTCCTGTGTCCCTTTTCTAGGCTGAGGGCCCTTTCCAGCGGTGGCAGTGTGGCCTCTCCACCCCCGTCCCCTGCCATGCCCAAATACAAGCTGGCTGACTATCGCTACGGGCGAGAAGAGATGCTGGCTCTCTACGTCAAGGAGAACAAGGTGGGGCTAGGCGAGAGTGTGGGGTGTGTGGCCCTGTTGCCCATTTGGTCTCAGCCAGTGGAGGGGGTCCAGGAGCACGTGGGACCTCCGCTCTGCCCCGGTTGACAGGTACCCGATGAGCTGCAGGACAAGGAGTTTGCTGCGGTGCTGCAGGAGGAGCCACTGCAGCCCCTGGCGCTGGAGCCTTTGACTGAGGAGGAGCAGGTGGGCCTGGGCTGGAGCCTTGCAGGGCAGGGTGCTGGGTCTCCATCTTGGAGAGAGGGGCCAAAGCTGGAAAGACAGGTGGTGGAGGTTGTGGTTCTGGGCAGGGTGGGGGGGGGCGGCGGGTGCCTGGGTCCTCACTCCCACCCCTGGCTCCCTCCTCAGAGAAACTTCTCCCTGTCAGTGAACAGTGTGGCTGTGCTGAGGCTGATGGGGAAGGGGGCCGGCCCCCCCCTAGGTGGCGCCTCCCGCGGCAGGGGCAGCACTCGGAGCCGAGGTAGAGGGGGTGACCACGTGTTCCGGGGGCGGGCCGAGGTGGGGCCCATGGTTTTGAGGGTGCAGAGAGACGATCGAGCAGGCTTCCCACGTGTATCTCCTCCTTTCTCCAGGCCGAGGCCGTGGTGACAGTTGCTTTTACCAAAGAAGCATCGAAGAAGGCGAAGGGGCCTTTGGTCGAAACCCCCGGGAGATCCAGCGTAGCCAGAGTTGGGATGACAGGTGCTAGCAGCATCATGGCAGAGCAGAGAAGCCCTGTGGCGGGTTCTGGTGTCATGTGGAGGGGTTCCGCGCCTTTGGCATTAGAGAGCAGCAGGGGATTCACTGAATAAGCCTTGGCCACAAGTCTTCCTCTTTGCCTCCCAACTCCCTGCTGCCTTCCTCTCTTCCCATTTGTCCTGTGATCTCCTGTTCTAATGTGTCCCCTTGGGCTCCCTCCCAAGACTGACTTTTCTCTAACCACCCCCCCCCCAGCCCTCCCTCTCCCCACCCTTCTCAGGGCAGAAGGGACAAGTTGTGCAGAGATGCTGCAGGTTGGGGAGGGGAAGCTGTCCTGGTTTGACCAACACCTTTTCCTTCCGCAGAGGCGAGAGAAGGTTTGAGAAGTCGGCCAGGAGGGATGGAGGTATGGAGAGTGGCAAGGGCGATGGCCGCGTCCTGAGGGTCCCTGAGAGGTGGGGGGAGGACTGAAATGGGTGACCACATGAGGGGAAGGTGTTTCCTGAGGGAGGTGGTGGGAGCAGGAGGGCCTGGAGCTGGGCTCCTTCTTTATCACGAGGTGTGTAGTAAGAGTCTTCCAGGAACCGTGGCTGCCCTTCCACTGACTGTGTCTTCCCCTGTTTCCAAGCGCGATCCGGGTTTGAGGAGGGAGGGGCTGGCCCGAGGAAGGAACATGCCCGCTCAGATAGCGAGAATTGGCGTTCTCTCCGAGAGGAGCAAGAGGAAGAGGAGGAAGGCAGTTGGAGACTTGGGGCAGGACCCCGGCGAGATGGCGACCGCTGGCGCTCAGCCAGCCCTGGTGAGGTTGGGGCCGGATGGGTGTTGTGGGGGGCATTGGTGGCAAGAGCTTCCTGAGGGTGTGTTCCCGCAGCCGGGTGGAGGGAACAGAAAGTTTCCTGGAGTGGAGCGGGTGGGAGGGCAGACTTGGAGATGCCGGTTCCCGGTGGGGGCGCCGGGGGGGGGGGG